AGGCGAAACGTTTCGAAATAAAGATACCTAACTGTTGCATATGTGTCTTACCTAACAACCTGTCGGTATTTTGTACCATTTTAATGTTCAACCTGTCAGACACTGCAACACAGGGGTATCTTGGTACAGACCTTAAATCAACTTCGACAACCTCTACTAGTGAGAACGGCTGGATTTGAGAGGGACCTGACCTCCCAACATCTGCGTTCTACTAGTGACCTACGTCTCACCTCCTGGCGCTATATAAGGTTCCATCCTGTCGCTTCAACTCCATATTGTTTCAGACTTTGGAACAATGCTCTTCTCCAGACTGAGGGACTGACCACCTCAAAACTTTAAGGGTGATGGACTGATTACATCGTCTTCAAGTCTCTTCTGCTTCTATCAACTTTTCTGTACTCGACTGAAGAAGCCTACTGTGTAGGCGAAACGATTCGAAATAAAGATACCTAACTGTTGCATATGTTTCTTACCTAACAACCTGTCGGTATTTTATACCATTTTAATGTTCAGAATTGACGGTGTTTACAAGGTCCCATGCACTCTATACTCTCTATCATACACTGGAAAAACAAATAAACCACTGGAAGCCAGATTAGCCCAGCATCAGTACTCATTTAGGGCGGTCCAGGATTCGGATGCAAACTACTACGTCAGTACCTGTTATCGTCTACTGGGGTGGGCAGCAGCTCAGGTCATTGTAGCCAACAGAACCGTCATGGAAAGAACCATAAATGAATCCTCGCTCTTAGAATTTGATAGGAATGACTTGTATAATTCATGTTTGGACAAACTGGATAACTGTTTGATGAAGTTTATTGTGCATAATCTTAGGCCAGAGTGTTATATAAAATCACCAGATTATTCATTATGCAACGGGACGTTGTGAAGATATGGTGACATTAGACCCACATTCACCTCACCCATCTTGCACGTTTCTTCCGTCAAAGAACGCATCCTGCCCTCCGGCATCGCCGTACCTGGGGAATTCAGGGAAGTTTAGCATCCTCCACAACCTTCTGCGAGTGAGTGTATGCCCTGTCAGGTCTCAGTTTCTCTGTTCTCATTCTTGAGAGTATACTGTAATAAGTTGCATGCAGTAATAAGCCTGTTCAGGTAGAGATGCATAAGGATACAGATACGGGTATAGGAACACAAATTTAGGTGATTGCAACTAGTCATTGCAACTAAACGATTACGCCTAGTTATATGATTGTAACTATCATACATATCAGCATATGTATGAGTTGCCTAGGATGGCCCAAGAGGGTCAGGCGTGGATCTATCACCACCAGGGTAATAATGATGGGAGACTCTCAGGGATTCCTAGAATATCTAGAAATACACAAGTGCAAGCGGCTGCAACTATCACACATATAGGTGAGAGGAACTCTCATACATAGCAACATGCATGTGTCACCCAGGATAACCCAAGAAAGTCAGGGGATGAGGACTCATAACCACTGGGATCCTATTGACTGGAGACGGTCAGGCTTCCTAGATTATCTACAATATTTACAATACTTAGGATATATGCAAACAAGTCTCTATGTTGACCAGAATAGATGAATATGATGGGGTGGTTCAGAATTTCTGCGATATTTGGTTATAAAGAATAATCGAAATACTAACGAAAATTCAGGAATGTTCAGGATGTTATGTGATAATGAATTATCTGAATACTAAGGAAGATTCTGGATTAACTAGGATATTAGGTGTAATATTCAGGATATCGAGGAATATTCAGGATATTCAATGACAAGAAATATTTAGTATTTCTGTAGGCGGTATTTAAGAATGAATGTAAGGAATCTTCTGAATATTATGTAGAACGTACCCGAATGTGTGGTAGTTTAAGCTGACAATACGCACATTTGATTCTTTTACTAAAACAAAGGTTTACATGAGATCTGAGTGTTTGTGTGTGTGTATTAACCACTTAATTAACGTTATCTCATAAGACACTTGATCAGCCGACGGTGATTAAATGCAGCTTTGGACTCATTATTACTCTTCCATATTATTCTGTAAATCGCTTTCTGTAAATCTCGGAGGTGACCTCCTCCTCCATGGAGAAAGGGTTCAGAGGGGAGGGGACAAGTTAGGGGGGGGTGACAGAATGGGCGTATTGAGTCTTTCTAAGGTGGAAAAGGCCAGCCAGTGTCCAGACGCTACCTTTCCTGTGACAAAAGTTCCCACTCAATCTACCTATTGCAGTTCTGTCAACATTGTATAGCTCCTGATGAAGCACGGAAAAATGTGAAAGATTTTGAACTGAAGATTTCCGTCCCTGTTATTACACACAGCACACACATCCATACACACACAATCTTGTTGCTTCTACTTACACTTAGGTGACTATGCAAACATGTACACTCGTAGGTATTTACACACTCATCTGGGTTTTCTTCCATTTTCTTAATAGTTCTTGGTTTTCTTTATTTTCTCTTATCTCCATGGGAGGTGGAAAAGAATTCTTCCTCCGTCAGCCATGCGTGTCAAAAGTGGCGACTAAAATTCCAGGAACAAAGAGCTAGTAACCCCTCTATATAAATTATGAATTACTAAATTTAAAAAGAAAAACTTTCGTTTGTTTTAGTCGCCATATATATATATAAATATATATATAATATATATATATATATATATATATATATATATATATATATATATATAATATCGTGCCGAATAGGCAGAACTTGCGATCTTGGCTTAAATAGCAACGTTCATCTTGCCATATAGGACAAGTGAAAATTTGTGTATGCAATAATTTCGTCAAAATCACTCTGAACCTAACGAAAAATATATATTTCGCTGTTTGTTTAGTATTAAATTACTGTAAACAAATCTAAAATATATTTAGTTGGGTTAGGCTAAAATAAATTGTTCTTGTTATAATAAGGTTAGGTAAGTTTTCTAAGATTCTTTTGGTGCAAAATTAAAAAATTTTACATTAACATTAATGAAAAAAATATATCTTTAAACGTATAACAGAAAATTTTAGAAAGGACTTAATTTTAAATGAGTTCTTGCTAATTGACCAGTTTTTACATATTCGGCACGACATATATATATATATATATATATATTTTATATATTATATATATATTATATATATATATATATTATATATATATATATATATATATATAAATATATTATATACATATATATAAACATTACACCCTATGACCTTTCAACATCTCAAGATGAAAATCACCCTTAAGTCTTTCATTAGAAGTTATTATCTGAGTTTGTAAAGTGATTATAACTGATTTTGCAAAATACTTTTGAAGTCATTTTTAATGAGCATCGAACCTGTGAACTTACTCGTCCGATCTCGGGTGACTACAACATTTTAGGAAAAACTTTGCTCCTCCTCATGATTGTAATTGATGAAGTACTTAAAGAGAAGAGGTTAAAACGTGCCAGGTAAATGTTGGTGCAGTTCAGGGCTGCCAAAATGTTTGGAGAGGATTGTGGTGGCGTATTTCTTAAGGCATTAAATAGTTGTGGGTTTAGTGCTTCAAGATTCTAGTGCTTCTGGCCACTTTCGCGTAGTAATTATCAAATAGAGAGTAACGTGATATTTGTCCGTGACGGACAGAAACATTTGTATTAAGTTTCCTCTCCAAATTATAGGTTAATTGGGAATTTAAGTGAATTGCCCCCCTCATCACCTGTTTGGACCATCTTGCACTCCTACCTCATGAAATATAGCTCAGCTGATTTATCATGGGAACGACAGGCCGAAACGAAAAATGTCTCTGAGCACTCATTTTCCAGGTCTCCGGAACCACAGAACAAAATAAAGAAACGCATACTTTAGCACAATGTTACTGAACCTCGGGTATTTCGGGTGTTTATGATATCGTCTTTTCGTGAATTTCTTTGTACTTGATGGAGCTTCACTATGAATGTAAACATCGTAAAATAAAGTTTATTACCTGTTGTAGTGTCTTCGAATTACAACTTGTTGTGAGCTGTCCTGGATAAGGAAATGTAAATATTCTTCCTGTAAATACTGCTAGATTTTCTGTGGCCTCTGTGGCACATCTGTTGTAGTGTTGTAATTTAACCGTTGTGATGCAGCTGTTGTGGTTGATCCGTTGTGATGTAATCACTGTGGTGCAGCTATTGTGGCGTAATCATTGTGATGTAGCTGTTGTGGTGCAAGTGTTGTAGTGCGGCTGTTGTTATGTAGTCGTGGTGATGACATTATGAATTATAATGACATCTGCAATTATTACCTGAGCAGAGATTTACAAGATAATAAAAATGCTTTCAAATGAGCTGATGTAGGTAACAGCTCTTAGCTTGCCAATAAAGTTAGGAATCCTTAACCTGTAAATAGCTGTCAATAAAGCTAGGGATCCTTAACCTTGTCAAACCCTGTGTAAAAAAAAAAAAAAAAAAAAAAAAAAAAAAAAGTCTCGTAAAGAAAATACATTGAAATTATCGAGCAAGCACAATATTTTGATGTAGTTTGAAATTCAAACATAAAGAATTTTCTAGAGTCTTTTAAAGGGAATTTTCCTTAAATATTATGGAATACGCTTGTGCTGTATTCCTAAATGTGTATATGCACAGTACTGTTGAATGTTTGTAGGTAACCCTAGACTACCTGATGTTAATATAAAAACTATTTATTATTCGACACTTTTCGGCAATATACCCAAGTCAAGAAAAGTGTTAACGAAGTCTTTTCTTGTCTTTTAGAATAAAGTGTTTATACCAGTATCTCTGTGTATAAAATCGTCTGTAATGGAGAACAGGCCAGTAGGATGTCAACATAGGTTAAAAATGCATCCTTCGTGACTAGCATCTTTTCGGGCTTCGATTATTTCCAGTATTGTGAAGAAAAAAACCATCTTTAGTGGAATATAATAATATTTCACGTCCTGCAGAGATTTATCTATTTGAAGTGTGTCCATAAGTAAAAACGTGAAGATAAGACCAAAGTTGCCGGTCAGTTGTGAAGACGAAAATAATATACTCACCATAGCGGGTACTGCGCCGGATAGGGAGAATTCAAAAGTGTTAACAGGCCTGGTAAGTGTTGTCTTCCAGCTCCTGTGTTCTGAGATGAGAGGACAGTCTGATCACTATGGCAGGTGAGGATACACCAGGAATATCAGGAATCGAAGGAAGGGAAAGAGAAGATGCAAAGTGCTGCCTTTCTGATAAAGGCAGACGGACGAGGAACGATCCACCTTGCGGAGGGAAGGCGATGGAAGTGGAGACTGAAATATCGTAATGGGAAGCGTTTGGCAGAGACTGACCAACTGGAGCGCCATCAGGTGGCAGTGTCGGACACGAGGGAGGCAGTAAGAGAGGTTTTGGTGTCAGAGATGATGAAGGAATGAGGAAGGCAATGGTGAAGGATGTGATGGAGACGCAGTGGTGAAGCTGCTGAAGTGGTTCTTTTAGTCTCCATCTCTTCAGTGGGGGTTGTCTTCATAACAATGAAAGGCTCTTGTTGCGAGGAATTGTATCTGCCTTCCCTTGGAGCAAACATGATTAGCTCAAATTTTCCTGCGGTTGCAAGATCCGTATATGACTAACACTTCCTTATGAATATCAAAATAATGTTGAGGTCTTTCGGCTAATCATTGCGCTAACAAACCAAATATCTAGTTTTAATGCTTTGGCATGATTTATATACTTAAAAAAAAGGTTGTCCAACGCACATCAAAATGCTATTCGTGGACTTTGAGGCTACCCCAGCATGTTCTGACTGACACAGTGGGATGAAGAAATGCTGGGTAAAGGAACTGTCTACGATAACTCCGGTTATCTGGTATAGATTCAAAGGGACGCAGTGTATTCAATGAAACACATGGCCTGCCATGGTGGTCACGTAATGGAGGTTATCATGAGGCGTGGAGGGCAGCAGGGGACTGACGCCTGGCACACTACTCAAACACACTTGCTAAAACTGTCCTCAGATGCTCAGCTTCTGACACAGTGCTCCGACGCAATTTCTGACACAGTGAATAAACAGTTTTTTTTTTTTTTAGCAAAGGACGTGATTCACCACAAACTTATCCTGAAAGTTAAGCATTGACTTCGAACACTACAAGTGTTCGTAGGCAAGTAGAGCATACATACATTTAGTACATTATATATATATATATATATATATATATATATATATATATATATATATATATATATATATTTATATATATATTATATATATATATATATATATATATATATATATATATATATATTTTCTTGGAAAATTAAATAGCTTAGCCCATTCTATAAACTTTACTGTTGAGTTTGAAGAAAATAACTCATTGCCTTTTCTAGATGTTTTAATTATTAAGGATAATAATGAATTCAAATTTAAAATTTACAGAAAACCTACAAATAACTGTTCCTATGTCCACTATTATTCCTCGCATCAAGATAGAGTCAAACTGTCTGTTTTCTCATCAACGTTTTTGAGAGCTTTACGAATTTGTAGTCCTGAGTTCATAGATGAAGAAATATCCAAAATTTATGAAATATGTAATGATTTAAAATACCCAAGAAATGTAATTGATAAATCTTTTAAAGTTGCTAGGAACACTTTTTATAATCCAAAAAAGGGCAACCAGCCTTATTCAACTAAAAATATGTTGGTTCTCCCTTACCATGAAAACTTGGTTGATATGCCTTCTCTTCTTAAGACTTTTAATATTAAAGTTGTATTCAAAAATCTTGATACAGTAAAAAAAACTTTTGATTAAGAATTCCCCCAAAATGCTGATGGATGTGTCTATAAGATTCCTTGTAAAATTTGCGATAAAGTTTATTACGGTCAAACTGGTAAAAATCTCGAACTAAGATTAAAACAACATAAATATAGCATTAGAACTGGACAAGATTCCAATGCTCTATTTATTCATGTAAGAGATTTTAACCATCCAATTGATTTTCAAAAAGTTGAGAAAGTAGTATCAAGCAAGTCCATGGTCGACAGGAATATAATTGAATCTTGTTTCATAAAAAGCAGTTTTGACAATAATATGAATATTTCCTTTGGTTTATATAAATTAGATCCATTTATAATTAATAGAATTTGGGTAGAATTTAATAATACACTGGACAAATAAATAGCTTGGGGGTGAGTTTTGCAAAGGACCTATCCAAGTTGGCTCGCCGCGCGTCACGTGTTTTAACCGTTGTGGGATCTGATAGTGAGGTGCTGGCCGACCCCTTATATAGCTTCCTTGGATGCTTCACTTTCATAGTTCCTTGATAATGTGAGTAGTCACGAAAGCGCTTGGAATTCTCTATTCTTTCAGAGTGGTTGTTTTTGCATATATATATAATTTATATATATATATATATATATTATATAATATATATATATAATATATATATATATATATATATATATATTATATATATATATATAATATATATATATATATATATATATTATATATATAATATATATTCTATGTGGTTTTTATTTAACGACAAAGTACAACAGAAATGCATCAACAGATCGGCCAGCTTCCTCTTTCAGAAACTCAGTGTTGCGATCCAGAGGGAAAATACCTGCAGCATTCTGGACACACGGGTCACCGCCGGGGAGCTGGATGAAGTATTTAAGATGTAGGCTCTAAGGTGTTATTTATGTTGTTCTACTTCCTTTTTATATATAGTTTACAATTAAAAAGTGAACGAGAAAAACTCGGAATCGAATTAGTTGAAAAATATCTTTAAGTAATCGCAAGTAAAAAATATTTGAACCAAGAAGTTTATTATATTAATTGAGATAAATGATAAGAAACTGGCGAGGGAAAGCAAGCTTAAGTGTTCCCCATCAGAGTTTTGAGAAGGAGTCACTGAGCATATCATCCTTGACAAGCCAACACACACAGCCAGCAAGAGAACTCGAGCCGAGCCAATGTGATGGCTGGACACCACACGTTGGCTGTCTTCTCGCCACTCACTGCTAAACTGTTTGTTTACGAAGTGCTTGTGCTCTTGACCACCACTCATGCTTAAACTAACATCATCACAAAACAAAATTAATTACATTAATGTTCTAAGCTGTGTTGCCTCCTCCTGACGGCGTCCCACGCAGCTTTAACCCAACTATGGCTGCCAATCTTTCTGAAGGTTGACAGCTTTGTTCATGGTTGTGTAATTCTTTTAAAGAATTGTTTTACTGCAATCTATTTTTGTTCTGTTAGTAGACGTATGGCATTTAGCGATTTGCTTCTTTCTAATTTAGTATTGTTGTCTTATCACTACCTCCTCATCTAGGTCATTCTACTTTTTGACCATTTCCAGGCTAAAGAAATATTTCCTGAAATCCTTGTCTTTAGCTACTGGCTACATCTTGTATCTGTTTCTCGCCTGTCGATCAGTATTTCTCCATTCTATCAAGGCTTCTGATTATTTTGTGCATGGTTATCACATATTCCTTAATCCTTATGTCTTCTTATGTTTTCAGGTTCAACTCTCTAAATCTCTCCTCTTAGCATGTTCCTCTTAGTTCTGGAACTGATCTCATTGCTAGATGCTACTTCTTGACATTCTTGTTTAAATGCATCTCGATATTCTTGCTCTACCGTCCTCAGGAAGGATACGGGGCGTACGATAAACTAGCGGCTTCGGTAGCAAAATTTTATTTTTTTTTTTTTTAGGTGTGGGTTCCAGGTTGGTGCTTCATAGTAAGAAATGGGACTGATGTACTTTGTTTATCATGTCTGAATATATAAGTTTGAGATTCAATGAGAGCTACACTTAAATTCGCCAAGCTCCCTATCGCTACAGCAGATGTGAAATGCTTTTCATATGTTTACTGCTAATTCCTTCCTGAGATGCGCAGCCAATATCTCCCTAATCTGTGTATGAGCGTGTGTGTGTGTGTGTGTGTGTGTGTGTGTGTGTTTGTGTGTGTGTGTGTGTGTGTGTGTGTGTATGTTGTCCCTACATCAGCCCATGATTGTGAAAGATGTCACACGAGGAAATGACGCAGTTGGACTGCTTGTCTGAACCAACATAGCTGAGCGGACACTTAACGAATGACCAGACATGAATGTAATTTGCTTTGCGCGTGTTATCATCATGTATTTAATTTATTTTACTTTTTTTATAAAAACACCTTACGGATTATTTTTATTCTCGGAATTTTAATATATCAGTGTCAATCCATGGATTACTGTGTGTTGAGTTTCTAAAATGGGGATTCCGATTTAATTCTCCTGTTTCCCCTTTTCTACCTCCGCCCTTCATTGTTCTTTCCTTCATCTCACCATTAGCTCATTTACTGATATGTAACTTAAGAGTAATTTTTAGGAAGTCGTGTATGACAATATACTGTAGTTTTAAACACTATCGCCGTAGTTACCACGATCACCACTACCACTACTACCACCACAATCACCACAACCACCACCACAATCTCTATCAGCGTGACTGCTTCCAGCATCATTTTCACTTCAGTCCCACTAACATTACCTTCACAACTACCACCATTTTTATAATGATGTTATTCTGTCAGCTTGCCAGCAACAATGACATATAAAGCACAATACCGCTATTATTATTATAATCAGAAAGAAGCGCTAAACCACAAGGGTTATACAGCTCAGCAGGGCCGGGAAGGATGCAGGGGTAATGGGTAGCAAGAGGAAAACGGATGATCATTAGGATATGAAGTGCAGCGGGGCAGTGGATAGTTCAGGGGTAGAGGGTAGCTAGAGATTAAGGTGGAAAGAACTGAGAAGAGTGCCAGAGACATCATCATCATCAGAGACTGTGTAGTAAATCAGTTGCTGTCAAAAAGGCAATGAGAGAGTCTGGATTAAAAGTGGGTCCGTCACCAAGAAGGTAAGGAAAGGGCAGCAGAGCGGAGATGACGTTGAAGGTAAATTCTGCGTGCTCGTCGATACTGCATAGGAGTTGCACTCGGTCCACCATTCTGCGAAGCATTGAAGCCTTCCTTAGTGGTTATTAAGGCATAGTATCGATAGCGAATGGGAATATCAACCTCGGAGGCGGCGACGGCGGCAGATTTTATTATGATTGTGGCTCTTGGTCCAAGGAACAGGAGTTACCTCTCCCTTTCCGCCGATCAAGCTTCATCAAATTTGCCTGGTTATGCTTAGTCATTGTATTGCCAGAGGTGAGGCGGCCGTTATTTTCTTTACTGTCTAGAGTGCAAATATTCGTTTTTACCGATGCATGTGACCAAACCTGACCTAACCTAAATTAACAGCATCCTGCCTAACCTAGTGCCTCAT